CTATTTGCTGGAAAACCGTCACTGATCTATGAATAAATATACTCATTCTTCCCTGCCTTACATATGCCCACCCAGACCGTGCGTAAGAAGAGCTTTGACAATAATTACATTCTAATATCTAGTTAATGCCAATACATTCAACAAAGATTTTGGATAAGATCTAGTATAAGCCTACAAAATGTTGAACAAACCCCAAATATCTCGGTTCTCGAAGAAAAAATGGTTCATTCTGATTCGGAAATTTCCTCAAACAAAGGAGTCAGATTAAACCTAATAAAACAACGACCTCAAAAAAGTGGGTGCGTTTGAGAACAAATAAATGCTCATCTACCATCAACGCCGATGTCACACAGGAACGGCCGAAGGAAAATGAGAGTAACCATCGCAACATCAACTACTTGCAATGCTGATGAAGGAAAATAGGGAATGCAGTTCACCGAAATAGAGAATAAGAATACCACATATAAATGGACCCCTGAAAATTCCCGAAATTAAAAGGTAAACCGACTGTAATCTCGCAACACTTTTGCGGTTTCGTCAATGTTCTTAATACCACAAACGTGTTCCACAAACCTAGGATATTCCACCAAGAAAAGAATTCCAGCCTTCAGCATGTTTGTCGATAGAATGAATTTGCTTAGCCAGATGAATTGTTGTGCCGAAAATATACAGAAAACCGTATCCCATTTCAGTTTTAATTCCAACACTATTTCTGAATTAAGAGTCCATTGGAATATAACTTGCTTTGATATTCTTCATAACAGGTAATCTTCATGATGGAATCGAGTTTATCTAATATGCCATTGAATACACGAGAGTGTCTTTCATGAATCAGTGTAGTGTTAATTTCTCGTTCAAACAACACCGGCTGGGAATTACTCCATATTCATCAAGTAGTTAAAACATTCACTGAGACCCGCTAAAAATGTTACACACGTTGATTCACTCGCACAATCGCGTAAGACAACCAAACATATTTGAAGCAGACCGGGTAGTGTCAACACCAAGCTTAGTGCTGTCAATCTCACCTCTCCATTGACCACGCCTTATTGAATTTTGATAAAAGCAGCTACCTCTATTTACAAACCGAATGAACACAAAATGCACATATTTTGAAACCTGGAAAAAATATGTCGTTCTTGGTAATCAGTTTAACCAGTTGGTTTGAGATGAAAAACTCATGTAACAAAAATTAAATTTCCATGAAAAAAATGTCCTATCAACATTTAAAATTTGGAAGAACGATCAAAGATCATATGAAATCTTTCAACTGTCACGCTGGATGCAGCAGAGTTCGGCAAGTCTCAACAATGTAAGATTTTTTCACTGTCACACGGTTTGTTAAATTATCAAGCACAAGTCTTTGAACACTATACCCATGAATGCAATGGGTGTTGTGACATTAAGGCGGTATAGAACACGAATGGAAAATGCGCGAATATGCAACATTCGATGCAGACGGCATAAAACCGTGGAGTGTTATCTGACGTTTCATGCAGGAAGAAGCATCATGATCACAGGGTGTGTTTAATTTAAATATTTCGTGTTAATTTCATTAGCCGTGTACATATATTCAAATCACGTTTGTTTAAAGGGTTGACAGGTTTTGGTACAGGCGAACAAACATGGGGAAGGGAAATCAATCAATAGGAACGCCAAAGGTCACTAATATGAGTCGGATTAGATATTGGGGAAGGGAGAGGAATCACTGCATGTTGGAGAAGGAAGGAGGACAGTGACACCTACCAGGGCAGCGCGAGGCTAGCCACAAATTCGGTCTGTTTACACAAATTGGGCTTGTAAGGTCGAATAACAGCCGTTTCAACGAACCTTAATAGACGACTGCTTTTTTGGCGAATCAAGCCATAAAAGGAGTCTCTAAGGTTTACTGATCCTTTGAACACATTATTTGTGCCGGGCTATTGAACTAGACGGAAGCTGGGACCCCTAGTCGCGAAGTTTTTTACGGGCGTGCTCTGCTATCCTCTCAGTTTTCCCTACGTACTCGCTACATTGTTCATTGCAAATGATAAACACCGCAGAAGATAACTGGATAGTCGGGTTTGTCTAGGTTGGATTCATTGAGAAACATTAGGATTGTGGAGGTTTTCAACAAACGCAAACGTAATCAAGGGGGCTGACTGCACCAAATATCGCGAAAACCCGGTCAAATCCCTGAACTCGCTGAAAATGCCAAATACTTCCTGCGCGAACTTCTACATATGGAAACAGGGAAATTACCACTCTAGATCGGTAACTAGTTAATCCTCAGAATATTCTCACCTACCTCAGAGAAAAGGCATACACTAATTATTCTCTTATATACTAAAGTGCAAACTGCCTTACATTTTCTTATTTATGAAATTTGTTCACGACGGAATGATTTGGGAGCGGATGATCTGTTCCACCTGGAGACATCTTCTGTGTACATTTTAGGAGAACCATGGCTTACGGATATTCTTGGGTGACAATCAGGTGTACGAATTTGTCGGACGGGGTAAGTTACTTTATTGTGTGGTTGAAATTGTGTACACCTAACCTCTCTCTATTCTGTTCCAACCCCATCAAAGCATGTGGGTTCATAAATGCCACCAAGTTTGATGAAATTGGCCCGTGGGATAGAAGCTTCCTGCCTCCTCCTCTATGATCATTTAGTTGACATTTTTCCGGGATTCTCCCTATGGATACTTAACTTGCGGTTGTAACATTCCCATTATTGTCGTGACCCGTTTTTCATCCAACCTACTATCGTAATCCATTTCACTAACACCCGCATAAAAGTTGTATCCCAGTAACTGTCTTATCTCGTTCTGCGCTAAACCCATGATCGTTATCTATTATTAGTACTCGCACATGCCCCAGCCTTGTATTCTGCCACGGATTCGGAGTTCGGTATCTGCGAGTCACTCAACCATCGCACTTTACTGGCGTATAAACACCATCCGCATCGAAATGATCACATAGAAATTCTGATTCAACCGTCTGTAGACGATTTGCCAGTTTGCCTTTAAAATCTGAGCCGATTGATGTAGACAATATTTTCCCTAGTAACTTCATGTCTCAGTTGTTTGTAAAGCAGATATTCATTATAAAGCACACCTTTGGATGAGTAAATTTTACCTGCGTGTTTATTTTTCCCGGTGCGAAAATTGGATTCTGTCGGGATCTTGGTTTACGTGCAATGTTTTTCTACGTTTCGGCACCACTTTGATTACGGCAAACAACGTTGTCTGTAACCTAGGGACGTTAACAATTAACGGGATCCATCTAAATGGCGTAGAGACTACAGTTCGTTGTCAGGAACTCCAATATAGCACAGGAGCTTTACCATTTTATTGCCGCTACGTCGACGATATTTTTATTTTAGTTGACGAGAATATATCGTTGAAAACACTGAACAGTACGTTCAACCAAGCTCACGACGCGCTCCATTTTACTTCGGAAATGGAATCGGCCAACACATTCCACTTTCCAGATGTTCATCTTACGAAGAACTCGGATGGAACAATTAGTAGAACAGTCTACAGGAAACGCATATGAATAGGTCATTACACTCATTTCGCCAGTTTTGTACCGTGAGCGAAACCTCGTCCGATTCCTAGCTGCTCGTGTCAGAAATATGGGTTCAGCAGAAAACCTGGAGTTAGAATTGACCCGGCTCAGGCAAGCCTTATTTAATAATGGCTACCCTGAGGGATTTATTGAAAAGAATCTGTCTGAAAGAGCCAAAAGAAGAAAGGTGACTACAGTAAGCCAAAAGCGAATCTATATCCGTCTCAAGTTTAAAGGTGACTGCAAATGGGATTTGTTAACAGGACGCCTAGTTAAGTCGATCACTCGAATGTTTCCTGCGGCCCGGTTACGTATACCATTCACCAGTCGATCTTTGTTATCATTGAATCTCGAAGATAAATAGCCCATCCTCACTTTCTTTATGTTGACTTATTCTTTTGTTTGAAGTGTTTGAAGTGACAGACGGGAAGTGCGGCCGGTTATAGATAAATGTGTCCTTTCTTAGTAACCAACGGACGTAGTTGATAATTATGGGTATAAACAGTTCTGTCAACACCGTTTGACGCAGTGCTACTTTCACTTCATCCTGATGCTTCCTACAATATACACGAATTCATCTGCGAATTCTTTTG